CAATTGGTCGATAAACTGTCCGTCCCCAAGGACAAAAACGTTTCGGAAATGCAGCCGCAAGTTATGGTTACAGGCCAGAAACTTCAAATTTGTGAATTCGCGTTCGCCGCCGCTGCCCCAGCTTTCAAGGGTTTGCGTCAAAATCAAACAGCAAATGCGGTTCACATATTCAGTCCTGAAGCCAGTAAATTTTTCCCAAATCTGATGGTTGCCGAACCTAACACGACGACTTCGGAGTCTAGTCAGTCTTCATTCGAAAAGCGGGCTTGTCCTTCCCAGACTCTCAATCCGCAAGCGACCACATTCAATCCTGATGGAATTGAGAAGCCTCATGTATCTCTAGATCCGTTGGCATTAGAGTTCAGGCCGCTTGTTAGCACAAACCTTCATGCTGGAAGTCCGCCAACTCTAAATTCGATGGCCAAACCATTTGAGCTTGATTGTATTGAGAAGACTTCCTCATCACTGAGCCTGATGGCAACAGAATTCAATCCTGACAATAGTACCAGCGCTGCTAAGCCTCTGAGTACACTATCAACATTGAACCTTGAAAACACCCTTGATTCTGGCATCGAAATTGATACCCTCGAGAACTCAAAGTCGGTTAGGAAAGGAGAAAACTGTATCCAAGCACCTGAGGTCGTGGATACTGAGAAAGTTGATATGAAATTCTGTGACGAACCTGAAAAACTGGTTCAGGAAACGGGAAAAAAGTTGACCATTCCACCCTTGGAAGAGAGACAGAATGCGGATCATGCTCAATTCACTCTGATTGATCAAGACGATACTCAGCATAAATCTTCCACTGTCGACATACATCAGAGCACTCACTATAACGAGGGCGCCACAAAACTACGGGCAGAAAAACCTGGAATGTTTGTTGTTCACAACAACATAGGTTCCATTGAAACTAATTGTGAGAGTATCGAGATTGAAGTTGTGAATGAGGAGAGTCTTGATGTTCAAAATACTGCCTCAGCTACCGTTGATGATCAACTGCTTAACGAATCCGAAGAAGAGGTTCAAGGTACAGACTCGAAAGAGAACGAAGACGTCCAATCAACACCAAAGGAGCTAGAAAGTCCCTCCGCCAATCATAGTCAAGTTACCATCGCAGACTCCGGAGAGAACAACGCAGGTGCCGAAGATGATGATAATGAGGGGCAGAATGCTGCCAATGAAAGCATTGCTCATGAGACAGATGAGCCTGCTGAATTGTGCACTACCATCGCACACGTCAATGTTTCGTCAAACGTAGGACTGGAAAAGGTTGCGGATGTTGACATTGATAACGGGCAGATCAATGTTCAAGAAATCAGAACTGAAGCCACAGAGGTTTCATCTCAGGGGCCTTCCACAGACGAGCCAGCGTTTTGCTCTAAGAAACAGCAAAATAAAAAACAGACTGTTCACAAGTCTAAAGAAACAAATGTAGCAGTTTCAAATATTGGAGCAGCACTTTTGGAAGTTATTTCTCTTCTCGTGCCAGAAGTTGAAACTATCTCTCAGGCAGTTGACAAAAATGGGAATAGGCGCAGTGGCTTGGATCCAAACTTTCTTCTCAACCTCCACTCGTTAATCTCTACTCATTCGCTTCGCAAACTGACAGAAGCAAAAGGCACTATTGAGAAGATTCTAAACATCAGCAACGAGACTGGGACTGCGCACTCATCGTTGATCAGTGACTCTCAATCTGTTGGACCGGCTTCAGAAATACCCATTCCTATAATGATTGTTTTGTTTTTCCCTGAGGAGGAGCCTATCGAGACCGATGATGGTGATTTTGTTGACCAAGTAGTGCTCTGGAAGAAGGGTTCCAAAAACGAGGATACCTTCGTATACATTGACTTTGACGAGAATCCAGAACAGTATTATCGAAAGCCATTCACATGCATATGCGCAGGCTGCGCTGAAAATAGAAGTCAAGGTTGCTATGAGCGCCATTGGGGAATCAATCCTGTGCGATGGCGCTACCACTGCAACTACTGTGATGGAAACTACACAAACAGTAACGGATGCGACGAATGCTGGTCTTGCTACTGCAATGAATGCTGCAAAGCAAAGGGTGGTGATCCATATGCTGGTTGCAAAGAGTGCGTGCGATTCTCGGAGAAAAGGAAGAGTTGCAAGAAGAGAGATTGGCCTACAAGTTTCTTCATCTTGACGGAAAAAGATCGAAGAGAAGCATATAGACTGCATGGATATCATGTCGAGGAGCATGCGGATGACGAGGGTTATACATCTGATCAACACAAAGGCAACAATAACAGAAAGGCCAATGAAGTCGACGAAATAGTAGATCTTCCAAGAGGTGGAAGGGAGTCTCGAATGGGGCATCGTGCCCAAGAAATGGACATTTCGAATGGCGATGAGTCAGATTTTGAAAACGACGGTATCCATATTACTCAAGGAACTGATTTTGAAAAGGAGAAGTCCGAAGAGCCCTTGGACGAGGTTGGTAATGCTTTGCTGAAGCCCGTCGGCAATTACATTGGGTCTTGGGCAGAAGATTTCGAGGACGACATCGATGATGCCCTAGAAACCGACATTAGAAAGGACAAGTCCGAAGAGTCCTTGGATGAGCTTGCCAATAGGTTGCTGAAGCCCCTCGGCAATTACATTGGGTCCTGGGCAGATGACTTCGAGGATGATGAGTAGTCGTTCAGTTGAAGCAAAACGGACTGAACTGGATCTATAAGACATTTAATTGGGCCTTGCACCTGAGGGTGAATGTGGAGACTGGAATTTGCGGAATCTAAAGTTTTCCTGTCATTTGTTTGCATTTCACGATACCTTGCTTCCGTGATCGTTTTTGTCGACGATAATTTTCTAATTTGTTTGTTCCCCGTGCATGGGAACTTACAATTTTTGTAGCGATTTTTTTGCTTTTGCTATACACATCTTCGTTTTCATCTCCTGTTCATTTCACTGGATGGAATAGGTTGGTCAGGGGCATACTTGGATAAAGGATTTAATTGGTTTACACGACGCAGGATAAAACTTTCTGGATTTCACTGTACTTGTATCCTACATCTGCCTCGATTCGACGTGGTTCGGTTTGGAGAATCCATGGTCTTTGTTTGGTTCAGTATTTTGACGGACGGATTTCTTGTTGAAGACTGTCGGCGTCGTGTGGGATTGGGAGGGGTGAGATTGGGATTTAGGGTATTTCTTGTTGTTTTCGTTCTAGGATGTGTTAATACGTTTTTTTAAATTTTTTTTTTTGTTTTAACAAAAAAGAAGTGGGATTTCTATAGTCTAGTTGAGTTTTCTATGAAGTACTGAGCTCATGAATACAATATGAAGGATTTTATATTTTTCGCTGAAAATCGAGGTGCAAAAGTGAGGAGTGACATGCGACAGCTGAAGAACCGGGACTAGTACTTTGGGGGTAGCAGTACTCCGACAACAACACAAGTCAGCAAAGAGTATACATTGCTTGCACTTGAAAAGTTTGTATATTTTCTCTCGTATCTGTGGTAGCAGGTCTACAAGGGGCGGCCGAACCTTATCAATTAATATAAACGTCAAATACCCGTGAAAAACACACCATATCTTATGGTCTTCTTGGTCTTATGAGGTACATAACGTACAGTACATCTCCATTTACATCTAAATTATAACGAGTAACCGTAAATTACTATACATATCGCGCTGCGCTAGTACAAATGTATTTTTTGAATAGTAAAAAATCCATCGCCAGGTCGGTGGGATTTCTGATCTGATATGGTTGAAGTTCCGCCCGCTTTGTCGCACCACAAACTGTGGGCGTCGGTCTTATCAGATTCCCTAGCTTAACACAAAACCTTTTCAATGCCAGCAAAAAACGCACAGACTCATTGCGTGCAGTCTACCCTTGCTAGACCGGACAGAAACCCTGTCTCCATACAAATAATATTTGCTAATACTAATACATCTTAGACTACCCCACTTCACGCTTGGCCGTCATCACTGCTGCTACTAGTACCACTGCTGTCACTACCGCCGCTGCTACCATCACTTGCTACAACGTTGTTCAAGTAATGGAAACTGGGCACTTCGTTGCTTCTTTTTCCATGTACTATCATTTCTAAAATCAATTGCTAACCGCTTATTACTTTATTTCAAACTATCTGACAAAGTAGAAACAGGCCCTAAATAGTAGGTTTGATACTTAGGATATCAATGGAACATTAAAGTACAGTAATTCACTTTTCTTTAGCATACTTTGGGTCCTAGTCGACGTTTACAAATTTAATGCTTTTCTTAAGTCACACTTAGGTCCCGACGTTTTCTCCCATATTGATGTATTTGGCTGGGTATGTTTATTGTACTTCGTTCATTTCCTATTTTCAGTAATTATTCCAATTTGTCAAAATATTATTTCAACCCCCTGCCTGCCAAGCATTTTCTTTCTATACCGGGAACCGACCAGTTTTTTTTAGCGATCCGGTATGGCAAGGGTAGAGTGTATCATACGAGTATTTGAATTAGCAACAAAACTGTCTTAAGTGTGATGGCAAAACCATACCATAAACCTATGCATACCTGGCGATTACCAGATTGAAAATGTCGTAAAACACTGGCAGATTATTAGAAATAATACGTTTCTCTACCGGTAAGTCTCAACACAAAACTTCATGGATATGTAGTGGTACTGTTCTGCGTTTGCGTGAGGCATCCATTGCATGCATGCATGCATGATCGCAAATGCGCGAGGGCCCTCAGGACAATTCATAGCATGTAGGAGAATCTGATAAGATAATTCCTTTTTTTTCTCCAAAAAAAAAAACTTCCATGCTGGCATGCTGGGACTGCACTTTTCGTTAGTCCTATAAATTTGTCCGAACTGTTGTATCGTAACATGTGCAATTGCCTTAGTCAGCGTCTAGTTACAAGACTATGAGATTTACAGAAATCACGCCTACAATTGATTTACTTAATACTCTACAAGACCTCCAGCTGCAACAGCCGCCAACATAGGAGGAAAAAATATGAAAATGAAAAAATGAAAAAATGAAAGCCCGATGCGAGGCTCGAACTCGCGACCTTGAGATCCCCCTCATACCCCGCCAGGCAGGGTATGTTAAGAGTCACACGCTCTACCGACTGAGCCAACCGGGCTTATTTGATGTAGATTTGTGTGCCTAATCCTTCATAATGTGGATTGTAATGCCAAGTTCACAAAAACTTAATAGTATTCCACCGCATGCTGCGATAGACTACAACATCAGAGGCTGGCGACCACAACCTCAGTTCCATGGCTACAGACATACTTCTCATTCAAACACCCTCAATGGGATTAAATGCATACACAGGTATTGGGATCCAATATGAGAGGTTCAACTGTATCGTTATATGGACATTTCCCTCATGAGACTCCGAAAGGACATCAGCTATTCGAATAAAGTTTTGACATTAGAATAGTGGTTGGACCGGAGTTTTATTTGTCAAAGCGCCCCAGTGGCCTAAGGATTGGCGACCTATTATATATGAATAATCCTTTTCTGGACTATGCGAAGACATTTGCGCAGGCATGCAATTCATCCACCTGAAGTATGGATCATGAGTACTTGGGTATACATCGGAAATGGCTATATAGGACCACTTGAAGGAAGTTGCGGGTCGCCAGTGTGCGATGCCAATGGAGACGTGCTTAATGTTTTCCAGTTTCACCGTGATACAATGCCCTGCTTGTCTTTGGCGGTATCCATTGAAACTCTAGTTAATCTGGGCTTCCGACTGGAGGCAATTGAGGGAGTTGGGGATTTGTCAGAAAGAGCAGGAGATGCGGGCGAAGGATAGGGCGGTGTCAGGGAGATGCTGAAGAGGATGAGGATCATTGGGATAAGTGCTCATTGATGGGGATAGAGGATGAGGCACGGATTGGAAGTAAGCTTCTGACCTTGTTTTTGTTTATTCCTGTCTTCTTTGGGCGAGGATGGCCATGTCGAGCTGGAGGCGCGATTATGTCATGGAAAAATTGGCTGTATTGTGCGCTAGCCGGCGTCATGCTGGCTTGTGAATTCCATTTCTGAGTTAGGCCTTATTTATACCCTCTAGAATTTTGAATATACCATGAAAAAAAAGCAATCTTTTCATATTAAGTGGCTAGGCCAAAAGTTATGGGATATATATGCACATCTCTGCGTGCATCTGAAGAGGACATTTGAGGGGTGTGTTCGATCTGGAGTTCCACCAAATTTCAGAGCTTCAAAATGTGTGCAACGGGTATCAGGCTGGCCGATTTCGTGCCTGCATAAGCTTTACAAACCTTGAGCATACGGCTTGTTCAACAGTCTCTCTTTCATATCTGGATGCGAAAAAACTAGTTTGACCGCGCGCCCCGACCGCCAGACTACTCTCAACTCATCCGTATGCACACTGCTCATCTTGACAATTGAGGACTCTCTTTCTGGGTGGGACAGGCCATACCTGGGAAGGAATCCATGGTACCTGGCGAGCTGGGAAATGGATGGCATTTGGCCTGAGGATGAATAAGTGCGAGGCCAGAATCTAACTCACCTCAAGTCGATCGTTAGGGGCCATAAGGCATGCGGTTATATATTCTTACGGCCAAACTCAGGGTTTGTCCAGGCCATATAAGAAGACATGGGGAATTACAGCGCCGGCCATGAAGACAGGTTGTCAAGCGAATGAGGATGGGCCTTCAATCAGACTCGGACAACGTTGGTCTACGGTATAAAGACTAAATGATACTCATGGATTCTTCCCAATCCATATCAAATAATCATTCACTTTCTACAAAAAAGGCGATTCATTCGTTGAATAATTTTTAAACTGCGTACTGCACAAAGACTCTTTTATTGTGAGGTATCGACTTATTTCAAAACAACTAGCAACGATGTTTTCTCCCAATGCGCAGGCTTCACGGGGCTTGCCTCAGACGCCAGGGGAGTAGATATCTAACTTCAGGAACAGCATGGTATCCAGCCTCTCCTTACTGCGGGTGCCCTCCATGCGGCGAGATATCTAATTTCCTCGAAATGGGCGGATTTGACTTTTCGGCTTCCCTAGATGCACACATAATCTACCGTATCTACTCCAGTTCATGCACGCTTCTAGCACGGCAAGCAGGTAAGCACGAAGATGCAGCAGAAGCAAATAACTCCGTCGCTATCACGCCAGAGAATTATCTTAACTACTATTCCACTAAAGCTGAGAAAGAGAATGATGGTTTCCATTGTGCTTGCTGTGGGCTCTCGTGGGCGATGAATGAGTTTCAACCGTCCTGGACTGGAGAGGACGGGGAAGATTTTGAGAAGACTAGTTGTGGTACCTGTGCATCTGCCTGCCCACCGGCTCCATCTGGCGATGGTACCTTTGAGGATAATTCTATGAAGAAGAGAGGTGACCTGTAAGGAATAGGTAGCCGGAATCCGATTATAGGGTAGCATATGCTATTGTGGACTGACAAAATTGGAATTCCTAGCTACAAACCATGGATATGTGAGTAAGAGCAATACAGATAGATGCAATATTCTATAAACTCGTTTATTACCTGTCCCTCGTGGCCTGCTTTATTGGACTAATGGGCCGTTCATCTAAATTTGTATATATGTGTTCTCAAAAGCATTGCTAAATCAGGCAGGCCAAGTACTTCTCCCAGCCCAGGGGATGATGCCGACGCTATTCAAGTTCAGGCTTGCATCTCTACTGTAGCACTTTCTCAAGCCCCCGGATCTCTCCTGCACATTTGCTACTTCATACACCAACAAGCCGTTGAAAGACAAGGATTTTCGACCCTCGCGGTGAACACTGTCTGGACCTGATATTGTGTTCTTATTTTTATATTGCTTGAATAAGTCATAGGTACCACTATTGAACCATATGTGATGTTCCCAAGATTGAGTAACTAATCTTTCATCCTTCCAGATAACCTGAATCCTTGTATCACACTGGTTTACATTTGGGAGAAATGCCATCTATTACGAATCTGCTGGAGGGATGGTCACCTTCACCAGCGCAAGAGACCACAGTTACGTCAGAAGTCCCGAAACCTGCTGCTGGTGAAAATGAAAGAAACGATCTCGACAGCCTTCAAGGCGGGAGCCAAGAGAGTCGGAAAGGGGAAAACGATATAGAAAGGGATGCTCAAGGGGAACCTTCAAGAACAGCTGGTAGACACGATCCTCGCCCGGCCCCTGAAGCTCCGCAGGCTAGCCAAACTGTGGTTAATCAACCAACACCTCAGAACCTCCAGCCTGAGGAAAGCAGCTGGGCGGCGAACCAACCGGCGGACCAACTGACAAACCGAACTGTGCATGCAACTGCTGGCTCTGAGCGAGCAGGTACAAATACAACAAGCTCAGGTTCCAGCCTCTCAACTAGACCTGAACTCACTTTCCATAAGGGCACCAACAGTCAGGATCAGGCCAACAATACCGACGCCACTCAAGAGGATAAGGATACGGACAGCGGTAGTAATCGAAACTTCGAAGGTTCAACTATACCCTCTAACGCCCCAGCGAGCAGCGGTATCAGCTGTCATCTTAATGGTGCTATATCTCGTACACGCAGGCACTCTACCAGTACTTGTAGCACAGAAAGTCATGTTGCTTCAGTCCGCATGCCAGTTGCACAGCGCCCACGGTCCGCTTCCCTGTTAGGACTACCAAACCATATCTCACAAACATCTAGCTCTGCAGGACGGCCTCCTTGCTCTGCATTGACATTTGGTTCCTTCCCTCCACCTCAAGTGGCGTTTTCCGCACCGCTAGAAGCAGAAGATAGCAGCCAATCTCCTCGAGAACCCGGAATCCACGCAAGGAATGAAACTACCCCCTCCCCAATGCGTGGAACTTCGCCTCGAGGAGTTATGGGGAATGCACGTAGCTCGCAATCACCCGGTTCAAATCAATCGTCTCATCCTTCAACTTCTCTCTCGTCAGACGGAAGTGCCCGCCGAAATGGGACTGGGCATCTAAATGCATCTAGCACTAGTCTAGATGCGGACTTTAGAATTACTGCGGAGGGTATTCTTGATGGTGTCAGAACTGTCATCAATTCGATAATGGAGAATGACTTTCTTAGACCAATCGCCCTTGATGCTTTAAACCAGCGATTTAATACATCGTCCGCACAGGTGGCAGCAGAAACACCAGTTAGACCACCAGCACGGACTGCATCTGGAATGGCGTTTAGACAACCTACCAGTGCTACCGCAGCGAGCGAAATACTCACATATCGACACAGGAATATGCCACAAAGGCAGAGGATGAATGGGAATGGAAATGCCACTATTCATCCTCTGGCAACGGTGTTGACCCCTGTTAACACAGGACCGTACGTGAACGGGCGGCCTAGGCCACCTATACTGCCACCGGTGCGTGTACCGGGGCCAGGGCAGCATTTCACCCGGTCAACCGCACCCACGAGAACTAATACTAGGGAATTACTCTTGAGTGCTCGTAGTAGACCTCCGTTATGGCATGCTGCTCTTCGACCCCTCAAATTGGACCTCCCCGGAACCTTCTGCCATCTTCAAATTGTTGCTCTCGTCTTCTAACTCCATTCTTCTATTATGGCAGAGCACCCACGACAGGAAACACATATACTGACGGAGCTTATGCAAACCAGTCTGGCAGCAATGGGGCTTTCTACACTAACGGTGTTCCAGGCGGAGAGCCTGCAGCTTAGGAGCGAGGACTCGTTCTGAACACTACACCTGCCCCTGCTCCAACCGTTCCAGCAACAGCCCTTAACCCAGCCGGTGAAGTGCCTGGGGCCCAGGACCCATCTTCTAGAGCCATTTCTCCAGAGAGCACCGGCGAAAGTGATGCAGCAGGCATTCCAGTTACCCAACAACTTGATACCTTGGTACGTATTCTTCAAGACTCTTCTGATGCAGAGCGGCTTACAGTTCTGGGTATGGGCTCTGCAATGGCGGATATTCAGGGAACGAAAAATCTTTTTGGCCTTGACCTGGCCATCGGGGGTGCATCTCGTGCCCCAGTGGCAAATGACCCGCCTCAATCAGTAACAGAAGGTGGTCATGGAGCAGCACAAGGACAAGGTGTTCAGTATGGACTCGCACAGGCTGGTCCTATGGCCTCAACAGCAACTTGCCCAGTGACGCAGATGGCGGAAGGACGACAAGCATC